TTTATTGCAACAATTTAAACTGTTATGGCACTTTGAATTGCGCAAGAGTTCCCTGCTTTTACGACTGCATTTATTCGTGGGACACTTTTTTTTGCAATGACGGCGCGTATAGCCTCGCCCTCCACTTTTCGAATTAGCTGCAGCTGCTGCTCTCGGTGATATTTATTGAGAAGAAATCTCTTCTACGGAAAGTAACTTTTCTTTACAAATTACGAACTGATTACGTTATTACGTGATTACGAACTGATCTGTTAGTGGTATTTTTTATTCAGATATTGCCGACGCCTTACCCACGACCCCTCTTGTCCTCCGCCGCTTGACCTGACAAACCGATCCCCACCTCACGGGATCGAAAGACCTTGTCCTACCTCCGGCTACCCACGAAGGATTTGGCGACAGACTGTCGCCTCTCTGTCGACGTCGGCTTCTCGGGTGTGGTTTCGACCTCCACCAAAGCCTATCTGTGCTTGTCGACATACACCGGTGATTATTCGAATGTATAATAATAATATAACCAAATATTCAGAATTTCACAGACATATTTTGTATATTTTGTATTTTGTATTATTTGGACATTCACTGGAGAATATCGACATTCTCTAATTTCGTCTTTCACAGTAACATATATACAGTGGTGCCTCGTATAACGTACGCCTCAAATAACGGACGTTGCGAACGACGGTCTTTCCATTCAGCAGTTACATTAGGCAAACAATGGACTTTCTGCGAACAAGTGTGAATGACATTTCCACTCTTTTGCTGTTGCCAATGACAATCTGCTATTTTTATAATATATTGGAGCTACAGTAGAACCTCGAAAACTCAACCTAATGTGGACCGAAGGGTGGCCGAGTTTGTGAAAATGCCGGGTTATCGGGAATGGGGTTAAAAAAAATAAGTACGAGTGTTTCCTCAGAAAATACTGTACTGTACTTGTACGTATTGTTTACTTGAGAATATAACAGAGAATAAACTGTTTAAATACCCTTAAACAAAGGAAAAGTACGTTCTTTATTAAGGCATAGAGCCTTTACTACATGAAAATGAAAATTAATGAATACACTGTGTACAGTAATAACTGTTACCTGATAAGACAGACCTCATAAAAATACTTTATGAGAGCTTTTATACTTTTATAAAGCTGTTTATAATGAAAATTAATTAACTAAGGATTTTTTTGCTCTGCCAGGGTGTGGCCGAGTTATCCGGAGTGCCGGGTTATCGAGAGCCGAGTTTTCGAGGTTCTACTGTATCTAGCAGTTTAACCGTTAGAATATATTATTAGTATATCTGAAGTGCAGAGCTCCCATTGTAATTCGGCTTGCTCCCTTGTTTATTACATACTGTACATCACCTCAGTGCAGGGTATTTACATTTATTCAAGTGTTGTGCAAATCATGGCTTCTAAAAAAACAGAAAGGTGATTTTCAATTGAAACAAAGCAAGAAATCATTAGAAGGAATGAAAGTTGACAGAAACTTCCTTGTCAAATGGGGAGAGGTTCAGGAGTTTACCAACATTCATTATCCAAACACAGTTGAGGCCAACAGGATCAATGATCTCTACACTGACACTCTTTCCTGTCATTTCTGACAGGTGTTGAAGAAGAGAGAGAAACAGACCACCTTGGACATGTTTTTCAAGAAGCCAGCAGGCAAAAAACAAAGAATGGAACAAGAGGAGTTGACCCTGCAAGTCCCAGTAGCCTCTCCTGAATCTGACTCCGATTAAAAAACAATAAAAAGAGACCTGCTGTAATGTATAAAAAGTCTGTATCTATGTGAATAAAGTGATCCTCCACCTCCTCCTCACAACATCTGACTACCCGGCATAATTGGTGACTGCTCCATTTTCATTTTTTTTTTTTATGGTACAGTACGGTTATTTTACGGTGCACTTGGAACGGATTAAGTACGTTATACGAAGCACCGCTGTATATCACTTTGGTAAAATTTTACCTACGTGCACCGTCGTGGCGGCGGTCGCGACTGTTCGTGCTCCCAATGGGCTCCTCCCGGAGGGAAGCCACCGATTGTTTAACGTCACTAGTTATTGATACGTGTGTACAAGAACTACCGTAAATCAATAACTAGTGACGTTATACGATAGGCGGCTCCTCTCCGGGAAGGGTCCATTGGGAGTACGAACGGTTGCGTGACTGTGCACGTAGGTAAAATTCTACCATCACTTTTCCGTGTAGTTGCCACCAAAATTAGGCACCAGCTTTTGCAATCTCTTATCAAAGAATGGTACTACCAGGTTATGCAGCTAGTTGATTCCATTCGTGAGTTCCTTGTTTGTTTCAAACTGCTGGAGCTATCCAGCAGTTTAACCGTCCTACTGAAGTAATCAATAGATAGTAATCAGTTGGTGCGAAGTCTGGACTGTACGAGATGGTCTAAAATCTCCCAGTTGAATTGCTGAAGTAAATCCTTTATGAAAATTGAAATATGAAGATGTCTGTTGTGAAGAAGAATGATGCCTTTGATGAGCATTCCATGTCTTTTGGACTGACCTCAGTTTGGTATTTCACAATAGACCTCTGATGTTATAATAGTCTCTTGTGGTCTCGGAAAATTATGGCCATCCGTGCTTTGTTTCCATGTTTGAATTTCTCGAGCTCGTTTAAACAATGAGTGTGCATCCACTGTTTTGACTGTTCCTTTGTCTTTATTTAAGAATTGAACATGTGTCTTGTCCAAATCACAATTCTGTCCAGAAGTTTGCCCCCACTTCTTCCCAGTAACAGAGAAGGAAATCAAAGCAGAGCCCATTCTTTGCATTTTGTGAACATCAATTGTTTGAGTTGCCACAAATTCTGGTGGATACCAAACTTCTCTGAGGCAGTATGAAACAACAGCCCTCAAAATTTGAGGAAATTCATCAGGAAATTTAAAATTTCAAAATGACATTTTTCACACACAACTTAGTTAACTTTTCTATTGAATTCATCAGTCACAATTGAGTATTATCCTTGTCTTCATCTATATACATCTGTATGCTCATCTCTGAATTTCCTGCACCAATCTTACATAGAACTGTAGTTAATAACATTATCACTATAGACGCAATAAAGATACAATAAACAATGGTGCTCTGTCCTTGCAGAAAATGTATCGCAACAGACTCCCGGCTGGCTGGTGAGAGTGGCAGCAATGCGATCCGTATTTACTTGGTCACTACTTGTACACAAATGAAAACACCAAATGTTGAGTTAATAAATGTTTATATTGTTGGATGGTAATTCTATCAATATATGTAATGTGGTATATTGCTATGGTGTATCTGGTTTATTTTCACCAGCCAATTGGAGGCTGGTTTTAGAATAGACAGAGGGTCAAATAATAATATGAATCAGAAAGTTCCTGAACTAGGTCTATAAGAATTTACAGGATGGTATTATTAGAAGTTAATAGCCATCCCCTTCAAAATAGTCCTCTTGGAAGCATATATAGCATTCCCAGTGCTTCTTCCATGAGTTTTTCCTGTGAGCTAACCAATACTGCCTGTAATTCTGCTTGAATTTTGTCTATGGTCTCAAATGATGTCCTCTCAACTTTAATTTCATTTTCGGGAACAAGGCAAAGTCACGGGACTAAAGGGAGATAAGGCAAATCAGGATAGGTTGAAACAAATAGGGAAGGTGTGGAACAACCACTATCCTGTTTCTGCCAAAAACTGCATTATCTTCAGAGAGGTGCAAGAGGATGTGTTATTGTGATGCAACAGCCAAGTGTGGTTATGCCACATTTCTGGTCTTTTTTGTTGCACATTATTTCTTAAGTGCCTCAAAATGTCAGAGGAACAAATTCTTGATGAACAATGGCCCTAATATCAAAAACAAAAAAAAAACCATGAGCATGTATTTCATCACACTTCTGACCTGCTACTAAGTCTTTTCTGGTTGTGGTGACTATGAGCCCATAGTCTTGAACTGACATTCCAACAGCCTTGAAATGCATGTACCACCCAAAAACTTGTGTTGAACTAACAAATGTTTGCCAAAAGCTTGACAGCATTTTGAGGGTCTCAGTAGCAGATTTCCCAACCTTCACACAAAACTCGATGGCTGCATGATACTCAAATCTGTCAGACATCATATCAATTGCAGAGTGAGTCTTTACCAGTGGCATGCGGTGACATTTGATGCCGATCACGGATAGAATCATTGGAAGTGTTATATATTTTGGTGTGTAGCATCCGTGGGCTAAACCACATGAGGTTGGTGCTCTATAAAACACATGCACGAATGTGTATAATCTGGCTGCTTTACACTATTCAGATATTTTTGCCGTGAATATATTCGACAATACAGTGCTTCCATTGGGAATATGCATATACAAATTTATATTAGAATATACAATAGCAATCTTATCATTGTTTTTCACATGTAATATAGAAATTTGTAATAAGATACATAATGCGGTTATAATACTAATTTCAATTAAATCAAAGTATGTTAAAATATGAAAATAATCGCAAAATATGTATTTATATTTTAAAAAATACAAGGTAAGCGGTGCTTCCACAGCTTCCATGGATGGCATGCCACTGGTCTTTACACTACTTTACAAAACTGCATGTAACATATGAACACGTTTGCACTAAGACATCACTGAGCATAATAAATCAGCAGATTTGGAAGCAAAGGCATTGATAAGCATATGCACTCACATTGAATGGTACAGTAATGCTAGCTATAGTCAGGGAACTTTCTGATACTGCCTTATAGGCCATGTGACGTCCAAATTATATGGAATGCTCATCTTGGAGTTCTGTGTAATATGAGTGACATTGCTAAGTTGGCAAAACAATATGGATCCAAATATTACATATGTGTCCACTGTGCTAACTAATCCTGTTGTTATGTAATTAAATTAAATGTCATATCTGAATGGGTTTATAGAGCACAAAGAAATAACAAAATAAAAAGGATTTAGTGTATTATAAATTAATAAAATATGTGAATGAGACAAGGTATAGAGTATAAAAGAATATTAATGAAACATACAAAAACATGTACATTCTTTTATTTCACTTAAAACCAAATGAGGACCATTTAATGGCATGTCCCTACCCATCAAAATAAAACAAAAATACAGTACACATTATGAGTATGGAAGTCTGTGAATTCCCATACTCTAAAAACATACTATTTACAATCGAATTTGTTATGTAGACTATTATAAATACAAAAAAAAAAATTCTAAGCCATGGTTGTTAAAATCTAATTAAAAAACAGGCAATTTCATTCAATTTAAGTAAAAATTATCAGTTTCTTCCAGAAATGACACACTAATGTGGAGTAATCTGGATTTTAGATCAATGTTTCCAAGATAATATCACAGCGGCAGTGAATGGCAGCCAATCTCTGTGGAATTTTGACCTGTTTTATTTCATAATTACACCAAAAAAAAAAAAAAAAAAAACAGTAAAAATAATAATAATAGTAAATTGCATAGCACCGATGAGCAATAAACGGCAAGTCGTCACATTGGAATTTTTTAATATATAATACATATATATATATTAGGAACTATTATAAACAATTTTGTTTATGCTGAATACAAAAAGTTCTAAAATGGAAGATAAATTTTGCAGTTTGCTAAACTGTCACTGTACAAAAAAAAAAAAAAAGATGAAACCTAATACCAAATAATAAAAATTTTGAAGATGAGAAAATAATATTTATATGTGTTTATGTATATAGTTAGGGTTCCTAATGTTTGACAGCTTGAGGTACACCATTGACTGTTTTAGATTTTAGTACTCCATCTTCTTGAACAGTTACTGTCTCTGTGCCATTTTCCATAATTCTGTAAAAATCAAAATAAACAAAATTAATTCAGATAAACTTAAAATAAAACTTTTTATTGTGGGACTATTTTGGGAATATTTTATTATATATAGAGTGAATTATTTGATTCAAATTTTAAATATAAAAAAGTATTAGGAATTCATCATCATAAACTAAGCCATTTTTTTACTATGAGAATGCGTACCAAGTTCTAGAAGTGTAAGGATGACAATATGTGTAGTTTCTCTTTTGATAACTAAATTGTATCAAATTTTTATATGTAACATGAATTAATTACCATTTATTTGTGCTATAACCTGCACAAATACATGGTAATCAATTGTGTTAAGTATAAAAATAACATGCATGCTAAAATCTACAGATTATCTGATAATTTTTAAAACTTTGTAATTGCAAACTTTTTCCTATGAAACATCAGTTGCTCTCATAGGTGATGTGGCATGTGATGCTGTGGGTCATAAGCACAAAAACACAGTACTTGCCAAACATTTGCCATTTTATACTTTGCAAGTGATATTTCAAGTGTTCATTGCCAAAAGTCTTTTCTAATAATCAATATACAATGTTCATCATCATTCAAAGTAACAGACAAATAAAACTGCTTACTTTCACAAGGATGACCTTTATTTAACATTTTCATATTTAATGTGAATTGATTAGTTGCAAAGTACAGGCTTTTGTGCTTTTGCAGGAGGAATTGAGTTTTATTTTCAAAAGTCTCTCTTGACAATCATTATAGTTTGTTGCCTTCATCGTCTAATGCAATATGTATAGATGTTCATTAGTTAACCTATTATATTAACCATTACTTTTATACTTAATGCAAATTGATTAGTTACCAAGAACATTGCAGTAGGCACTTTTGTTCATTTTTCAAAACTCTTTTCAATAAACTGTATTGAATGCATTGTTAGCAATTTTGTGAACTATTGATTTCTTTCATTTCAACTCACAACTATGATTTAAGTAAATGATGCTAAATATTATTCTAGATTTACTGTAGGATTTCTATGGTCTGCCTGTGGAAAAAATTGACTTTACATAAACGTCACGCATGATGTCACGTCATTAAACCAATCGGCTCATTCCCTAACGATGTCAGCACTTTTTGCTTAATATGTCAGGCAATGTGTAAATTTTACTTTATTTTCTCTCATTATATGGAAGAATGACTTTTCCATTAATTATATTAAATTTTAATAGTATACGTGTACATTAACTGTAATGAATCATGAATTTAACAACTAACTTACTATAACAAACTTCCTCATATTCCAATACTAGAACTTGAAGTTTTCTTAACACTGTTTATAATGATGATGATGCATTTAACAAATAAGGAAGAGACCAGAAGTAACTTGCCACAACTAAGTGATCAATGGCTGATGCTCATTGATTAATACCCAAGCTGATTCTTTCCATGAACAGACTTTCATTCATTCATAGTTTGTTCATTTACTATGTTATACCTATTACGCTATTTCCATTTTTTCTATAAATTGTTGCATTGTAAACCATATATTATGAATTATTTTACAATACAGTAAAATATTTCATTATTTTCAAAAATCATCTGATATAAGCTTCTTTTAGAGAACATGGAACTATAATTATGCAGGAATTTAAAAAAAATTTAATTCATTTAAATTATTTATGACAGTAAAACAGTCAAATAATTTGATACGTATGATTACATAAGTAGATCAAATGAGGAATGGGATACTTGGATTCAGGGCCACATAGAATTTTTCCCTGGCCTGGAGAAAACTTAAGTGGTCCCTATAAATTAATGTTGTTTTACTAACAAAAAACATAATCTTTAAGACTGCTATTTTCTTAATTAATTAAGAAGTATTCTGCATATTTCATTTGTTCAAAAATAAATAGCAAAAGGAGCCTGCTGTACCCTGAGTCTCATTCAGACTCAATGGCCCTGTTTGGATTAAATCAAAAAATTGTCTACATAAAATTTTATAAACATATTCAAGGAACATCTAATTTAGATGAGTGGGAAAGTCTGCTATACTTCCATTTATAGAGTCTGAATTCATAATTCAATACTTCATTTTTAAATTATTAACTTTTAAAATTGCATAATTTTTTGATTTGATTACTATAATTTTATTTTGGTTGTGTTACTATAATTTTGCAAGACTGCTCAATTTATTTGTTTATTTAGGCCAGCCAAAACAAATAGAATCTTCCTAAGTGGTCTGATCTATTTATTTGTATGAATCTAGTCTGAAATAGTAGGTAGAAATTTTGCTGTTTCATTTATCCAACTGGTCCTGAGATAGGTTTTTAGATTCTTTCTTATGGTATAATATCATGGTTCTCAATCTGTGGTCTGCGGAACACGGGTGCTCTGTGAAGCCACTTCAAGTGTTCCATGAAAAAAATCAAATATACAATTAAAAATTGTTGCAAAGAAAAAATCAATAGAATGTACCATACTGTATAATAATGTTTGTTTGGGAATGTAATCTGCAAATGCCAATGATATCATATACTAGACCGAGTGTGCTCTTGCTTTCAAAAAGGTTTGCAACTCCTGCTTTAAATCTGATGTAAGTGTTCTGCAGAAAAAAATGTCAAAGTTTAGGTTCCCAGACTTCAAAAAGATTGAGAACCATGGTTATAATATATAGTAAAACTTCAATTTAACACTACTATTTATTTTACTCTGAAATTGACAATTATGGTGCTGAACTGAAATATCTTGGACAATAAAAACATTTATGTAGACCTTATTAATACACGTAAGTTTGAGTCAAAGAATTTGAAACTTCTATAATCTGGTGATTATAATGTCATATGCAATGCAAAATCATACATTTAATGATTTGTAAATACTGAAGAATACTCTAGTTAATATTTGTGGGGTATTTGTCAACATTTCACAAGGACAGTGCTATTTAAGAAGTTGTCATATCCTGGAAGTATCCAAAGGCACAAGTCTGACTCAAAAAGACTTGTTACAATTTGTTTAACAATACTTTATTTAAAATTTTAGTTTTTACTCATGGTCTTTGCAATAATTAATACTAGTTTATATGTATAATTAATTACACAAATACTGAAATTTGTTAATCTTTCAAAATACCAATGCTTTTAATTGTTTTTACTTTTATATCCTTAATATTTTTCTCTTGTTTCTATATTGTCTACTAACTGGTGAAAATAAAGATGTTTTGCTTTAACTTTTGACTAAGACTTCCTCTCTTTGCTAATCAGAAACTAAACCAGTATAATAAGTCCTATTTATAAAGCAAGTCCAAGTATCAATGTTTTTGTTTGTATGTTAAAGACTAACCAAAACAAAGGCATAAAGATAAATACTAAGCAACTGTCAAGCAACAATGTGTGGAAATTTACAATTTGGAAACAAAGAATTCCTTTAATTTACAAACATAATAAGTATTTAAAGCCATTTTACCTTCTTGTTTCTATTTTTTTCCCATTTACAAAGCGTGTGGATGTTGTTGTTTTTCTTATTCCAGGCTTCTGTGGTGCTTCTCGGAAATACTGGTTAAAACTTGTATAGCTGATTAGTAAAGATACAAAGAGAATATTAGTTTGTTTCTAAAACATATATATATATATAAGATTGTTTTAAATAAATTATATTATTTTCTGGTGGTAATAATAATAATAATTTATTAACTAATGTAGAAATAATAAATAAATTCATAAATAAAATAATTTTCCGACAAAAATTTTTTTATTTATAAAGTTTTTTCCATTATTTTACTAAAGATATTTTGAAATGACTTTGCAGAACCCTTCATGGTTACTTGCAAAATCCTAGGGTTCTCAGAACACAGTTTGAATATTATTGTTACAGAATGTACAAGTCTTTTAATAATATGATTCTGTGAACACTACTTTACTTCTAAATGTTGATTTTATATAAATGAACAAATAATTCAATACATTCAAACATCAAGCTACATGTATAATAAAACATGCATTGTACATACAGCTTACAAGTTTTGTTTTGTATAAAATACATTATTTTTGCTGTTTAATTATTTCCTTACAATGCTTGCTATACTAACAAAATTAAATTAATTCAACATTTATTTTATTTAAATGAACAAAGATTGTCCTGGAACAGGAATCTAACCTACAATTCCTACTTACTATGTGGATTCATTGCCAGTTAAACTATTAATTAGAATTAGAACTATACCCAGAACTATTAGTTTAGGTATAACTAAACTGGTTACATATGGCACTAAATGAATGAATGAATGAATTTTTTGGCATTAATTAATAATTGGGTTATTGGATATTTGTAATAAATAATATAGTTTTAACTAATCTACTGTACATCTTTGCAATTTGATAGAAAAAGATAATACTGTTTCATCAATGTTTCTGTGAGTACATGTTTATTCATTTGTAAATGGGGCTGTTCACAAGAGGATACATTATGATCTAAGTAGACTGTCATGATATAGGAATCAGATTAATTTCATTATGATAAATCAGAGATTTAAAAATTGCATTACACAAGCAAAAACATACCTTGGAGCAGATAGACTGATCATAATTAAAAATCTTACAAAAACTAAAGGTAGAAAAAAAGGTAAAACCTGTAGCAAAATGGGACTTTACACAGGTGAAACAAAAAGAGACCAGGACCATTTGCAAAGAGAAAGGAAATTGAAATGAACTAGAAAATAATGAAATCTTACAAGAAAAGAACAATTTTGAACAAAATGCAAACTTAAACCTAGAAATCAAACTGGAAAGGAAATGGAAAACCTTTTCAACTTCCTTGATGCCTTTTTTTAAAAGAAACACTACAAACAAAAGAAAAGAGCAACAACAATCCTTGAATGACAAAGAATATCCTAAAACTTATGGAAGAAAGGAGAAGAAATAAAAACAAAGCTGACTCATCATCAATAAAAGAATTAAAGCAGAATGTAGAAAAGCTAAAAAATGTTGCCTTAACGAAAAGTATTGTGACTGTATCCCATATCAGATTTAAGTTTAATTCATAGATGTTAGCACATTTCTTTTTTTCTTTCCATCTTCTAGAACCTTCTAATATTAATTACTCTTCCCCCTTGGAGGTGAAGGCCACTTCCTGAAATCATCAAACAATGAATGTGAAGTTTGCTGATGGCATACATGGGGAAGAAAAATCACTTTTTGGCTGCTCTAACAGGAGAATAAGGAGAGTTGTCAAGTGCCTGAGAGACAAGTGAAGCCAATTTGAAAAGAAAGAGACTCCTGAAAATCTTGGACCATCATTGCAGTATTGAAGTCGGTATCTCAACTTGACAAGTTTTGGGCTTGGATGGATGAACAACAACTTGGATTAGAAATTTAAGAAACCATCTTGAACTAAGGAAAGGTAAACAGAAGAACAAATTGTGCTCAAGGAAGTTTTCACATGGTCCCTCATGATAGCAGAAAAACATTTGTACAACATGGGTTATTTACTCTAATCAGTGTGCCATCTTTGATACTTCTAGCCCGCTATTTGTTTTTTGCTTTCCTTTAGTGTAAGTTAGTTTTTTAAGGATTAAATAAGGAAAATTTTGGATAATATGTAATCGCAAGTTCTTTTTACATGTCACGATATTTTGTAATTATCCGGCTGACAACTGTGTTTTGGGTTAATGCCAGAGTATCCGTCCTAGAGTTCGCAACCATTACCAATCCTGTACATAACTATCATGCAAAAATAAATTCTTTTTTTAACATCTACTGCATACATTTCCTTTGTTCCTGGGTGTTTGCCCTAGTGGGCTAACAAAAACCCTTTCATATCTCTGTATAAAGAAATAGAAAAACTGAAAGAGAAACATTTTTTTACAGAAGTGCACAGCAAAATAAGAGAATTTACCAGAGTGGACAGCAACAGGGTTGGGGGCTGTATCACCAATGCAAATGGAAATCTTTTAATTGAAAAAGAAAGCATCAACAAAAGATGGGTAGAATACTCAAAGGTTCTTTTCCAAGACAATAGGGAAGAACTACAAACCCCTGCCCAACCTTGAAGGACCTCCCATCATTGAAAGTGAGGTGATATATGCAATGAACCATATGAAAACAGGAAAAGCTACAGGCAAAAATGAAATTTCAATGGAATTACTTAAAGGACTAGAAGAAATTAGAATCAAAGAAGTAATGGATATCTGCAACATGATCTATAACATTGGCTATCTGCCAGGTGATCTAAAACAATCCATCTTCATACCAATACCTAAGAAACCAAAGGTAGAAGTGCGCTCAGATTTTTGGATAAGTTTAATGAGCCATGTACTTAAAATTTTCCTAAAAATCATTTTGGAAAGGAATAAGTCAAATTTATTCAGAGAAATTGATGAAACACAAAAGTTCCCTCGCAAACAAAGGCACTTGGGACGGTATCTTTACACTCAGGACTATTGCTGAGAGATATCTCGATGTCCAAAAAGAAGTTTACCTATGTTTCATGGACTATTCAAAGGCATTTGACAAGTTTAAACATGAGAAACTTATTGACTGTCTTTCTAAACTGGATGTAAATGGTAAAGATTTAAGACTTATAACCAATCTCTACTAGAACCAATCAGCCATTATAAGATTTAATGAAGAAATAACCAAGGAATTTGAGATCCATTGTGGTGTAAGGTAAGGCTGTCCTATCTCCATTCCTTTTCAATTTATACTCTAAATTTATATTCAGAGAAATTGAAGAATTGAAAGGAATTTCAATTGGGGATACAAACATACATAAATAATATTAGATATGCTGATAATACTGTACTGTTGGCGGAATCAAAAGATCTAATGGAAACTGTTAAAGAAAAAAATAGAGAATTTGAACTGGAGTTAACATGAAAAATTCCAAAACAATGATCATAAGTAGAAGAAAAAGCACTAGCCTAGACATTAAACTTGATCATGAAAGAATTGAACAAGTCCAAAGTTATGTCTACCTAGAAAATTTAACACACAATAGGAAATGTGACCAAGAAGTTAAATGAAGGATTGACATTTCAAGGAAAGCTTTTCTGAATTTAAAAAGACACTTTATAACAAAAGAGATTAGTCTTAAAGATGAGGCTTCTCAAATGCTACATCTGGTTGATTCTGTTGTATGGTGCAGAGACTTGGACAATTACTAAATCCACTCAACAAAAATTACTAGCTTTCAAGATGTGGATTTACTATTGAATTTTAAAGATCTGGAAAGAGAGAAAAACAAGTGGAATCTTGGAAATGCTAAGACATGATAGAATATTAATGGCCTTCATAAAGAAAAGAAAGTACTTTTGACCTCGGTGGAGGTCGAAAGTACTTGTGGAATTTAATAGTGACATAACACTCGTAAAAATAAAGGTTTTTCGTGGATTGTTAAGAAAAGAAAGGTTGCTGTTTTAGGTCATCTATTACATCACAAAAGCCTCCAGAAAGAAGTTCTGGAAGAAAGAGTAGAGGGAAGAAGAAGGAAAGGAAGATGAATAATAACCTGATTCAACAACAACAGCGAAAGGACTTTACTGGACTTTGAGGATTGTACCAAAGAAGCACAACATAGAGAATGGTGGCATGTAATGGCAATCGACTTCCAGAGAGGAAATGACACAGGATGGATGGATGATGGAGATCTGTCATAGAGAGGATGCTAAAAAAAGAATGAAAAATACTAATGTAGAATCATTTAATTTGAATTTGATGTCATCAACATAGTTATAACAATGAGATAGAGTTGAAAAATTATTGAGAGGCCTATAAATCTTAAAGACTGTCCAGGTTTATAGGAGCTGGAGGGCTGTCCATATTTTCTAGTTTTGAAACATTGGACTGGCATGTTTTGAAATCTGTTTCATTATGAAAAAAAATAATTTTAATAAAATTTGTGAGTTGAATAATAATTAAGGGTCATTACCAATATCTGAAAAATCTACTATGTTACAGTGATAAGCATAGGATCACTCACTGTTGAACAGAAATCTTATGTACTTGTAAGCACATTAGTAGGAGCACAATGTTATCTTGTGATATTGTAGCATAAAAATTACCAACAGTAAATTTTAAATGCTATTACTATATTATCTTGTAGTTTGTTTAAAATAAAGAAAATTTAATGTTTCAAACTTTGGTAGGAACTCTAAATTTCATCTATTCATACTGTTAAATATAATCATATTGTGGATCACTCGAGGATTTCCTTCTAGCTGATATTCTTATATTATGAACTCTTCATTTTTTCTTGTTATTAAAAAAATTATCTATACTTTTTTATTTTTGTGTTCTATCCAGGTTATTGCCTTAAACCATACACTGGAAATCTTACTACTCTACCTGCAGGTTGGCAAGCCAAAAGAGATCTTCTGCATATCATGAGAGAGAACCAAAGGTTCTTTCTACATTTTTTTCATTTTTTCTTACTTTAATCTTCTTTCATTTTCTGGTAATACAGAATTTTGTCATTTTATGAGCAGTAGTGGCCTAGAAGTAAGTTTTTGGCATAAGAATTTTGTTCTGCCTGTAATAGATGGCAAAACTTCAAACTTCAAATTATACTGTTATGAAACTGTCTCTAAGTCAGATAGAATCATCTGGTTCTCACCTCATGATATGGTAGATGTTGATACAATATCCTTGTAGCTGCAGACTTGTTGAGGGAGTGTTGTCGTACGCTTTACCCATTATATACCTAACATAAATTATTATAGCAGGAACAATATTTATAGTTTCAGCTCCCTGTATAACTTTTCAATGCTTCATGGTTGCATTTGTATATTTCTTGAAATAACATTTTTTGTAACTTTTTGGGAGAACAATATATATATATTATACTTATTTAATTATTATTGATAGATACTATTTTATTACGATTCATTTAGTGTGAGACAATATGTCAAGACTTTTTTCAATTCAATTAAAATTAAATTACTGGATAATATATTAGAAAATATCTGTTAGAGATCTAATATGCAATAATATCATACCCTGTTCTTGATAAATCATGAAATGGAGATGTAAAATCTAATCCGGGAAACCCAAAAATATTGCTTGACCTCTCTCGTCTATTAATAGCAGCTGAAAAAAACCATAATTTTAAATATTAGATTATTATACATTAAAAACAGAATACTTCCAAATATTTCAAAGTAACATTTACAAGAATCTGTCCTCCTTGTGTGGCGATTAAAAAAACTATCAAAGAAATTTGAAGAGAAATCGCTACCAAAAAATTCTCGGAACACATCTTCCGGATCACGGAACTTGAAATGGAAAGTGGAACCGAAATCATCAAAAAGCGATGTGGTACCGTGATGGTGGTGACGTCTGTACCGACTGCGAGTGCTGCCTGTTAAACCGTCTTTACCATGGAGATCATAAAGTCGCTTCTTTCTTTCTACAAATAAGGAAAATATAAATTTTAAATAAATTTAAGAGTTAATAATTAAGTATTATTATTATTAAACTTTATTAAATTAAATTACTGATTATAATTCTTACTTTTTCAAAAATGTGGGTGTTCAAATTGACATATATGTAATATATATTCAAATGTGAATAAAAATAATTATAAATTTATTGCACATTGAATAAATTTAAATTATAAAAACTTAACTTTAACAAAATCAGTATCAGAAGTTTTAAGTCATTAAAAATGCCAACTTTCTGCAATCTTAACTTAAAAAATAGTAATTTAACACTTGATTCAAAAAACCTTAAATTAAGAATTAAGGTTTTTGTTATTGTAAAATTTCTTTCTAAAAAGTAAAAAATGCACAATTAAATGCAATTACCACAATTAACTGCAACTGAATGTACAGTATTAAAATTTAAACAAGGAAACTATGAAATGGATTGTTTCTTGGTTAACCGTACTTTTAGATAATTGATCTTGAGCATTTCTTGCCAGATAGTGCCAATTACTTTTTTATATAACATTGCTATATGTTGGCACATTATATTACTGTAAAAATAAAACTGAAATTGAATGCATGTTCTTTATTACAATGACAATTGGTCTGATGTTGATGTCTCATGATCAACATTTTGTCAATAGTGATAGTATCTAAAAAACAAATTACTGCTTTAATGTATTAAAGTAACAATGTTAATTTTAAAAGTACAGTGATAATTTTTTAAACAAGTTATTAATTTTGAATGAAACAACACCTCAAACCTTCTAGGATATAATACTCTGAAGAAAAGGATTTTAACTTGTCTTATGACAAACTACAAACAAATCTTTAAGCATTTTGTTGCCAGATTGACAGAGTATATAAAGGCATTATAACTATTTCACAATTCTGTAAATTTGTATTCTTATTACAGTGAAATGTCAGTATAACAAATGCCAGTTTAATGAAATTTTTGGTAAAATGAATATATCTTGAATCCTCACTAATTTCCTATTCAGCTCAATGCAAAAATGTTTCAGTTTAATAAATACCATTATAACATAAAAATTCTGTCCACTATGAAAGAATAGTTTCATTATAACAAAATCTATAAATGCATAAATCATTCATTACTAGTAAATGATGAATATTATGTCAAACAGTCTGGCCACATTAATTTTAATGTCTAGTTCAACTGGCAACACTAATTTTAATCCTTAGTTATAGTTTCATTTTGATGTTATTTTTCTATAGTTTTTGAGAAAAAATGGAGAAAAAAATGAAAGCAGTTTTCTTTGGAAGAGAATAATAAAATATTAGGTAACGCACAAAAAGAAATCAGATAAAAAAGATGTGCCTGATGGTCTACCAGAATGTTGTGTCACAGTACTGGATTTTATTGAAAAACTGATAAAAGAAACAACATATACAAAAATTAGACTTCTTTTACCAGAAAATAATGGCTTTAATTGTTGTTTCTGCTTAGAGGCAGAATTCCAAATAATCAATACTACTATATCTTTATTTTAGTTTTCACTTGGGAAATTTTTTTATTACAGATTAATTTTTATTCTAATTTAATATAACTTACATTCTGAAAATGTGAAATTTGGTTCCATATGAATACTAACAGACAAATTGTGTTTTTAAAAACTTTATTTCTTCAAAATGTAAGCTTATTATCAATTAATTTATTTTATCTTTGTATTTCTGACTGTATTTCAATATAATGAAATTTCAGTATAACGAAAATAGTTTGATGGTCCTCTCAATTTTGTTATACCAACATTTTAGTGTATCTACTATAAAAAATAGTAGACTCTCACTAATCTGGGCCATTCCTTGCACAGAGAGGTGCAGAAATTACTTGTATACAGACCTAAAGCATGTTTAATTAATTAAATTAAATTAATTAAAGGCAGCAAATGACATGATCTGTTGCTCTTTAATATCAATGTTTTTTGATGCATGCAAATAATATAGTGCACAGAAATGAAACCCAAGTAAACAGGAAAACAGAATGTGTAATACAACTAACATTTTTACGGAATATAAGCATATAAGTGATCAAACAGGAGCCTATGCCAGATAACAGGGCTGGATTAGCCAGAGATGTGAAGTAGATTTGAGTCCAGTGGATAAGAGGATAAGCTTTTCAATATTAAGGAGTTTGTATTAATGAAATATTTATTTACCAAAGTGCCAGTTTTTAAGTCTCTCTGACTTTGTAATATCATAGTCAACAAGTGTGTTAGTAATTTCCTAAAGTTTTGTCAATTAAATCACATTTGTTAAGTTTGTTCAACTAATGAAAGTTTATTTATAACAATTTTAATAATATATATATATATGATTCTAGAAAGCACAATAAAATTGGCCATTATTAGAAAAAAATATACAGTATAATATAGAAAGGATGCATAGAATTTGTGACATGTTAATAATATGAAAGAACTGTAAGAACTGTAAGCCAAACTTAGCAGATGTAATCAGCTTGGTCAACAAGATTCATTATAGGTTCAGATTTAAGTTGGACCAAATGAGAAATAATGTGCATACTTCCTAGACCTTGATAATGCTAAAAACAGAGATATAAATCTAAAGTGTATGTAAAACTAACTTCCCATCCCTTCTGTATTCCAAACTGCTGTAATAACCCAATCCACTACAAAAGAGCTGTCTTTAATACCCAATTGGAAGAGCACCTACATATTGTTTGAATATAATGGACACAATAAAAGAGCTCAACANATTGTATTATATTTAAACAGTTTTATAGTGTTGAAAGTGACAGCTGCATCAGAATTCATTTTTATCATTTAAACCAGGCCACTACATCTTTTATGTATTAGTTTTCATAATTTTGACATTTTCCAAGAAGAATAAAGTTTAAATATGATTTTCAATATAACTGCACATAGTTGAAACTATTTAAGTTTATCATAAAGTGCATCTCTATACAAACAAAAGAAATTAGAGTACAAAATTTAAGTGAGTGATTATCCTTTATGAAGAAAAACAGAGAATAATAAATGGGCAACCCCATTCAACTACTTAAAATTAATACATTCAAAATAAAAATCAAATTTCTTTAAATTATATCTTTTACTTCTTGTTAGCCTACTTTACAGAAGCAAAAACAGGTTTATGAGATCAGATTGTAAATGTATGCATAAGTGTAACTGTCCCGTCCCTAATAAATCTTACATTTAGCTATCTTGGCAACTAGTCATGACTAGAACATTACATACAGGTGTAATCCCACAGTTTATGATCTCTTACATAAAGCTAAAGACCTCATAGATAGCATAGTGTGAAGAGTGAAGGCTATTTACAAAATACCTTTCAATCTTGGCTATGAAAATAAGGTCAGCAAATACATTGGCTACATTTATCATAATTTACCAATAAAGCATAAGGAACACAAATACAACATCCACAAGATCAAATACACAAAAATGTTGACCATCCTTGTACACAGTAACAGAAAATAGAGGGATATTCAAAGGAAGCGACGCTGTTTATAATAGCTAGAGAGTAAGCAAAAGAGAAAAATCATAGAGATGACAATATATTAACATACCTAGAATAACTTTTGTATCAACTACAATGATGCAAGACACTTATCTACAGCATTGAAATACTAAATATACTGTATAAATGTACATACTGTAAATATTCATACTCTGGAGGAAGACTTGACTTTGTCAGATTATTGTTATATAGTACATACACTTTCTTATAAACTGCAGCATTCATTTTGTTACTATATACATTAAAATATATAAATGAAGTTTACTGAAGCTACAAAATTGTCTTTGTGTTCTGTCATTACAAACACCAGTGACATCCAAAAACAATTTTCAGTTATAGAGGCAATCTTTTATTTGGAGCTAGACTATTTTGTAGCTTCAGTAAATTTTATTTATATATTTTAATGTAAATACCGTCAGCCGAGATTGGATTTTAATGAACTTTATGCCAATACTATAATCACCAGAGGACATTTTTTTCCCATTTTGCATTTTATTGCAGAGGCATGACCTCAAATAAAAGGTTGTCTCCGTAACTGAAAATTGTTTTTGGAAGTCACTGGTATTTGTAACGATGGAACATAAACAATTTTGTAGCTTCAGTAAATTTTATTTATATATTTTAATGTAAACCATCAGCCAAGATAGGATTTTACTCTATTTTGGATTTTATTTTTGTTATGTTTTATCCTTGTAATTTTTGTATATTTATTTTATCTTATTTGTATTTTAAATTTATTTGGATATATTGAATAATAATTTTGCCTATATTCCAAATTTTTATTCTAGTCATTAATTTGTATAATCAATTTGAATTCAAATCTAAGTATTCTGTTATATATTATAAATGATGATTCCTGAAGATGGTTGCTTAAACAGCCTTAAACATTAGATCAAATAATTTTTATGTACTATAGGTCAGGTAATAAATAATTTTTATGCTAGTATAGTGGTTAAAGAAATCAGGCCTTTCAATTATCCAGCATACTCTCCTTTATGATTTCCTACATGCTTCCATTTCCATGAAAATGTTAGTCACATCACAACATATCCTGTTTTTCTGTTTACTTGAATTTCATTTCTATGTACAGTATTACATTTCAGCACATATTTGTCTGCTTTGCCATGAAAAAGAATCAGTACTGATGGGTGATGGGACACATCATTCAGTACCTTTAAGTCTACACACACTCAGTAATCTGGCACTCCTTGGTTCAGTATACACACTCTTGCTAATTTGACCACTCCTTGGTGCAAGAAGTGGCCAAATTAGCAAAAGTCTAGTGTAAATTGAAGATTAATACCTCTTAAATTTAATTTTTTCATAATACTTTTTATTAGATTTTAAATATGGATTCTACTTACTGTATATCCATATGAATATTTTCATAATAAATAGTATATTGACTATTATTAATGAATATTAGCAAAATATAACAAATTGACAAAATATCAATATGAATAATGCAATGAAAAAGTAAATAAACAAACAGGTAGTATAATCTCTTGGTAAATATTTATTTACAACTTAATGTTTTTATCATTTCTTTCTTTAAAGTTATATTTTGTTTCCTCTTTCCTTATAGAAAATTAAAAAAAAAATTTAACATACAGCAGAGTCTGGCAAACTCAAAAGTAAACAGTTAAGTAACAAGTTTAGACTAAGGATTTTGGTACATTTGCCAAAGTGAAGTTAGAAATGCTTAAGGTATGAAATATAAATACATAAAGAATAAAAACATATTGGTATATCATTTAATGATAAAATTCTATTCAGTATTTTGAAAATATATTTTTTAATCTTTATTTTTCTTAAAGAAATGAAAATTGTGCATTTTATTTAATTTGTTATTATTTACAAATATAAGAAATTAAAAAAATATAATTTTAAATACAATATTCTGTTTTACATCTTGTAAATAATTTTAAAATGATAAATTGAAGACTGACGTACAAATATAAAAAAACAAAAAATATGAGAAGTTTAAGAACTGAATTTTTAAGTAAAATTTAACCAATTATTAAACTTGATGCCATTTGACCTATTGAATTATCTCAGAGAAACTTGTATACATGCACACATATGTATGTGTTTATGAAAATATACATATGTAAAGATATAAAAAATAGCTTTTATAAATTACTTAAAATTCTGAAAAATTTAGTTTCAGAGTGATAAAAATCAATACTATAACATGATGAACTAACTAATTAAAATTTATTATCAATTACTATATGTTTTTTGTTATAAACATATACTAGCACAATAAAGTAATAAAAGTTAATGTTTTTATGTACCGTACATTTTAGAAAACCAAAAAATAAAATAAATAATAGATAAAGTATTTTACTGGGTTCAAATTTTTATAATATTGACAAATTTAAATATCTATTTTAAAATAAAAAATCTCTCTTTCTTTAGTAAGAAGTTGTAAATACTGTATCTGTTTTAATGATTAAAAACTTTATCTTAAAATATCTAAGTAAAAGTTACAATTTTGCAAATTTTATTCTATAAGAATTAGTAAAATGAATGTTTTAATTTATCATTATNCTCTGGAGGAAGACTTGACTTTGTCAGATTATTGTTATATAGTACATACACTTTCTTATAAACTGCAGCATTCATTTTGTTACTATATACATTAAAATATATAAATGAAGTTTACTGAAGCTACAAAATTGTCTTTGTGTTCTGTCATTACAAACACCAGTGACATCCAAAAACAATTTTCAGTTATAGAGGCAATCTTTTATTTGGAGCTAGACTATTTTGTAGCTTCAGTAAATTTTATTTATATATTTTAATGTAAATACCGTCAGCCGAGATTGGATTTTAATGAACTTTATGCCAATACTATAATCACCAGAGGACATTTTTTTCCCATTTTGCATTTTATTGCAGAGGCATGACCTCAAATAAAAGGTTGTCTCCGTAACTGAAAATTGTTTTTGGAAGTCACTGGTATTTGTAACGATGGAACATAAACAATTTTGTAGCTTCAGTAAATTTTATTTATATATTTTAATGTAAACCATCAGCCAAGATAGGATTTTACTCTATTTTGGATTTTATTTTTGTTATGTTTTATCCTTGTAATTTTTGTATATTTATTTTATCTTATTTGTATTTTAAATTTATTTGGATATATTGAATAATAATTTTGCCTATATTCCAAATTTTTATTCTAGTCATTAATTTGTATAATCAATTTGAATTCAAATCTAAGTATTCTGTTATATATTATAAATGATGATTCCTGAAGATGGTTGCTTAAACAGCCTTAAACATTAGATCAAATAATTTTTATGTACTATAGGTCAGGTAATAAATAATTTTTATGCTAGTATAGTGGTTAAAGAAATCAGGCCTTTCAATTATCCAGCATACTCTCCTTTATGATTTCCTACATGCTTCCATTTCCATGAAAATGTTAGTCACATCACAACATATCCTGTTTTTCTGTTTACTTGAATTTCATTTCTATGTACAGTATTACATTTCAGCACATATTTGTCTGCTTTGCCATGAAAAAGAATCAGTACTGATGGGTGATGGGACACATCATTCAGTACCTTTAAGTCTACACACACTCAGTAATCTGGCACTCCTTGGTTCAGTATACACACTCTTGCTAATTTGACCACTCCTTGGTGCAAGAAGTGGCCAAATTAGCAAAAGTCTAGTGTAAATTGAAGATTAATACCTCTTAAATTTAATTTTTTCATAATACTTTTTATTAGATTTTAAATATGGATTCTACTTACTGTATATCCATATGAATATTTTCATAATAAATAGTATATTGACTATTATTAATGAATATTAGCAAAATATAACAAATTGACAAAATATCAATATGAATAATGCAATGAAAAAGTAAATAAACAAACAGGTAGTATAATCTCTTGGTAAATATTTATTTACAACTTAATGTTTTTATCATTTCTTTCTTTAAAGTTATATTTTGTTTCCTCTTTCCTTATAGAAAATTAAAAAAAAAAATTTAACATACAGCAGAGTCTGGCAAACTCAAAAGTAAACAGTTAAGTAACAAGTTTAGACTAAGGATTTTGGTACATTTGCCAAAGTGAAGTTAGAAATGCTTAAGGTATGAAATATAAATACATAAAGAATAAAAACATATTGGTATATCATTTAATGATAAAATTCTATTCAGTATTTTGAAAATATATTTTTTAATCTTTATTTTTCTTAAAGAAATGAAAATTGTGCATTTTATTTAATTTGTTATTATTTACAAATATAAGAAATTAAAAAAATATAATTTTAAATACAATATTCTGTTTTACATCTTGTAAATAATTTTAAAATGATAAATTGAAGACTGACGTACAAATATAAAAAAACAAAAAATATGAGAAGTTTAAGAACTGAATTTTTAAGTAAAATTTAACCAATTATTAAACTTGATGCCATTTGACCTATTGAATTATCTCAGAGAAACTTGTATACATGCACACATATGTATGTGTTTATGAAAATATACATATGTAAAGATATAAAAAATAGCTTTTATAAATTACTTAAAATTCTGAAAAATTTAGTTTCAGAGTGATAAAAATCAATACTATAACATGATGAACTAACTAATTAAAATTTATTATCAATTACTATATGTTTTTTGTTATAAACATATACTAGCACAATAAAGTAATAAAAGTTAATGTTTTTATGTACCGTACATTTTAGAAAACCAAAAAATAAAATAAATAATAGATAAAGTATTTTACTGGGTTCAAATTTTTATAATATTGACAAATTTAAATATCTATTTTAAAATAAAAAATCTCTCTTTCTTTAGTAAGAAGTTGTAAATACTGTATCTGTTTTAATGATTAAAAACTTTATCTTAAAATATCTAAGTAAAAGTTACAATTTTGCAAATTTTATTCTATAAGAATTAGTAAAATGAATGTTTTAATTTATCATTATAAAANTCATAAAGTGCATCTCTATACAAACAAAAGAAATTAGAGTACAAAATTTAAGTGAGTGATTATCCTTTATGAAGAAAAACAGAGAATAATAAATGGGCAACCCCATTCAACTACTTAAAATTAATACATTCAAAATAAAAATCAAATTTCTTTAAATTATATCTTTTACTTCTTGTTAGCCTACTTTACAGAAGCAAAAACAGGTTTATGAGATCAGATTGTAAATGTATGCATAAGTGTAACTGTCCCGTCCCTAATAAATCTTACATTTAGCTATCTTGGCAACTAGTCATGAATGATATAATAAAAATGAATTCCCACACACTGTCTGCTTGTCTACTGGCATATCCTGTTTTTTTTTTTAATAATTTTAAATATAATATAATAATTATCATATGAAAGTTAATATAATCTTTAAAAAAGCATTTCTTACCATCTGACAACACTTCGTATGCCTCGGATATTTCTTTAAACTTGCGTTCTGCTTCATCTTTTTTTTCTAAATTTTTGTCAGGATGCCATCTCAAAGCAAGTTTTCTATATCTAGATGATAAAATAAATCTTTTATCCAAGTATATTTTAAAAATTATATATTCTAAATATATTAAATCACTATACCTTATAATACAAATTTTACAAACAGTTTTATTTTTAAATAATTTTTATGAAAATATAAATTTATACATATAACAAGAATTCAATACATTTTTTAAATATTACTTTTAAAAAAATTTAAAAATTCAATTAACTTTTTCCACTCTGTATGCACTAAGCAGATAATTTTAATTTTATTATGGTTCATCCAAACACTCAATGGGGTTAGCAAGTTGATGAGAGATAAGATATAATACATTTGATCATCTTGTAAACTCCAGTGTAGTCAAATTGCTTGGGAATATTTTCAAGGATCCAATCTGAGACTCAAAATAGATTTCCTCAGACTGGCAGGATTTCCTTTACCACCCCAGCTAGGCATATAATGAGTACAACAGAATGGTGAGGAATGAGATCTGACATATCAAGATTCATCCATGAAAATTTGAGAATCTGATCCAGACTCAATCCAAGATCCCTCAAAGTGGCAGATTGCCTTGATCACTTAGCTGCCCCAAATGATTTTGATTAAGAAAAAAAGCATTACTTACGCTTTCTTTATATCGACACTAGTTGCTGTTCTAGGCAGTTCCAAAGTTTTATAATAGTCCACCATTATTGATTAATGATTTTATGTACAAATTAAATAATACGATTGCTCTTTACAGATCTGTAATTTAAAATATAGGAAGTATTAATAATTAATTAAAGAAAATAAATGAAATTAAACATTCAAAACAATTATAATTTGAAGTGAATATCAAATCACAAAAAAAAAGAAAGAAAAAAACAAAAATGAACAGCAGCATTTAAGATGAAATGCATTAAGAAGAAGCAACAGATTGGATATGAAATAATGAATAATTCTTCAAAAAAGTTGAGACACATATTGTGTGAATTCTAATTCAAAAATTTTATGCATCATTGATTGTATAGATGATACAAAAAAGATTGTATCATCATCTATTCAATCACTACACTCATCCATGGAAAAATGAGAAGGAAATGAATGATGATTCACAGTTCCAATCTTTCATGAATGAAATGCACAGTAAACCATGGATCCAATCTTCTGTGAGGAAGTGAATGATGATCCATTATACTCATCAATGGAGAGAGAAGGAAATGGATACAAAACAATTCATTATTTTTATAGATTTATCTAGATATAACATTAATGGAGTACTCAAGTTTCTATAATGAAAATGAAGAAAAAATGTTTTAAATATTTTATCCCTTTTCCTATCTTTTATTTCTCATGAATATTACATAAATTATTTGAAGTGAATTTAGTTGCCTATGTAAAACATGTTTGCTCCTTAATTACTTGCAAATTTCTATAAAAAAAGAAATGAATTGTTTGGACAGAGATAACAGATATATATAAATAATGATTAAGTCATGGTTTACAAAAGGAAGATAATTAATTCTGTCTAACAACAATACAGTACTACCTCTGGCACAAAGTTAAAGTCAAAATGACAATTTTTCAAATTAATAGAAATAATTATATTTATTGAGTAATGAATTAATTTTAAAATAATTAAGTATATTTAATTTATTATTGAAATTAAGTTTATGTATATATCTCTTCTATAATTAACTGTCTTACAAAAATATAAATTTTCATTTATATTTTTGTAGATCATTTAGAGATAAATATAATAACAAAGCAATCAATATTATATTAATAAGGAACCTTTTCAAATGTGAATCCAACTCAAATGTTTTTCAAATAGTGAACAACTTTCTAAGAAAATGCAAATGCTTTTAGGATGTATTTGTAGTAATCTAGTGTCTCTTTTTGATCTCCATTTGTCTTGTTGAATGCTTTGATGTATATGTATATCTGAAAAAACACTAGTTTCCTAGAAAGGTTTTCCACCCCCATAAAGGCAGTTTAAATTACATTTTTGTTGATGTATTTAATTTGCTTATTTGCGGAAGACAAATTTATTTCTTCAATTTCCTCACAACATATGTAGCTATATACTTTTTTGCAGATAAAATGAAAAACAGGGATTTAACTGGACAGGAAAAGTTATAAATAATGAAATAAATCATCAGAACAAACAGTATAAAACAATCTTCATTTTAATTACAAATTTATGTTAAGTTTAAAAACAAGATGCATAATGATTAAACATATAATTTAAATAAAACTCAAATTTAACAAAAAATATTTAATTTACAATTTTCCTTTTAATTATTTTTCAATTTTATTTTCTTGAAGTTTTAGAGAGAAAAAAATTTTACATTTAAAATAAAAACTATTTATCTTCATTAAAAAAAATAATTTCAGACAATCATTTTTTAAAATAATTATTACATTTTCCAATAAAATCAAGATAATATTTTGTATGCTTAAGGAAAGACACATGTAGTTTTTCAACAAGAATTAAATTTAGTAACTAAACAACTATTTTTAACTTTTTGCTATTTTTAGATCTTTTCAGAAATGTGTGTAGACTTTATGTACTATAGCTGTTAATATAACAAAACTTTAATAATATAATCAATTTACAAAATATAAAAATATAAGTAAACATGAAATTATTCAATTAATTAGACCAAAGGGTTTTTGCAGAATGTTTTTTATTTGAGCTTTATTTACACAAAAATCTATACAACATAATTTAGATTGAATAGATTTTTTTTGATATCAAAAGTAATCAGCAATGGTCTTAAGAATAAGCATTATAGGTTTTTGTCTAGAGGCTTGAGCTTTTAGAGGCTTCATGTGTGACTGTCCATTATATATATATATATGTTTTTTTATCCTCTTTTGACTGTCTTTCTCTCCATTGTGTGCAATGATGCACTTTTGGCAAATACCCTCCCCTCTAACATGTACAGTACAGTACCAGTACAATAAGTTCATGGATTCCCTTGACTCAGTAAGAAAAGATCTGCAAATATTTTCTAATAGTCTATTCACATGACTGTAAGTAGGCTTATAAAAACAAATTTGTATGCACTAATACCACTGAAAAGTCCATGTCGACAATGCCTTGATCCTCTCCCATCATGTATGATACATGTACAATTTAGCAGGGAGGGAGTCACAAAAAATACAGTAATTAATGAAAACCATCATGCACAAATATAAGCTTACCTAATACCTAATCTTGATCAAATAGTAACTAGAATCCTAAATATATTTTATAAAAACATTTAAACTTCTTATAGAAAAACAGTCTGAATTTAATTTAGGTGCCTATATACAATCACTTAACTGAACTACATAACTAACTTAATATTTTTGTTGCAATAACATACATCTATTTTATCATTCTGAGTTTAGTAGCATTTTTATTCTTTAGCAATATGATTTTCATTCATTGCCCAAATCACAATATTTAGCATTTGTACCAATATGTGCTATACTGCTCACCTGAGTCTCTACTATTTTCTGATATACTCCCTGAATTAGTCTATTGAGATCACATCATTAACATTTATGAAAAGATATCATAATCCATTATATTTTTCTTCAAGCACTGTAAGTATACCTGAAACTGTTACTCACATAAATTAATCTATACCCTTCTACAAATGCTTGTAATTTATTTATTTTGAAGTTCTATCATTAAAAATTAAATTATTTCTTTGTTTTATATTATAAATGATATAAACATATTTCAAATAGCTTGACACATCCTTTACCATACAAGTTATTTTGTTTTGATTTTTTTAATTAAAAAAAGCCTCTTATCGATGTCTGTTTTATCTAAAAAGACTAGAGAAACATTCAAAATTTAATTGTTTGGGTTGATCTTATAGGTCATTTTTTTTCAGAAAGTGAATGCATTGTGACTACATTTGCAAAGAAGCAATTAACGGTTGAGTGCTTCTACGTAAAGCTAATGACATCATGATGCAGTCAGATAAACAGGTCTTTAAAATCAACATAAACAGTTATTTTTCAAATATTTTGTTATTTTTTTTTAGACTAAACAAATTATATAAAACAACTTTCTTACTTAAAAAAGAAAAACAGACAACTAGGCAACTTTTTAAAGCCAGAAATGATATTTTATTAATCATAAATGCCATAAAAAAGTTTTGAAATTTTTTCTGAATGATGGCACACTTATAAAAATAACAGAATTATTATAATTAATTATTTTTAAATTAAATATAATATTTAAAAAAGAAAATATTTATGAAAAAGAACATTAATAGCATTTAAATGAGTATATTGCCAATATGAATCAGTGGTAGCTCTAACTATAAACAAAATAGATAATTACCCAGGCCATTGTGTATGGAAGACCCTACTTTGGGTTCTAAGTCTAAAGTACAACCAATAAATGTAAGAAAAAATTAAAATGCCAAATTTAAGGTAAAACAATTTTAAAGATTTTCAAAGTTAACTGGCCTTGGAAATGACCTTTTCCTTGGGTTCTTCAAGCTCTAAAGTCATTAATAAATAGTACATCAATTTATTTGAAACCTATTGACATAAACAGATGAAAATTTAAAAGTCAAATTCCAAAAATGCTTTTAAATATCACATCAGTTACAAATCAATACTTGTGAAGAGTAATATATTAACATATAGTCTGTAAATGTTAATTATTAATAATTACAACAGATATTTCTTAAATATTGATGCAGTGATTGATTGATTTCTACAAGCTGCATGTTATAATTGTGCCATATTCTTGATACTGTATTTCAACACAAAAGTATAGAATTTGGATTCTAAGTCAAAGTTAGAGATTAGAATAATCTTGTGAGATTTAGTCAGGCTAATGAATATTAGATCTATTGTACTGATACTTATGGGAGTGAGAGACATTAGGTTATTTGCTTTGTTACAGAACAAGATTTTTGGTAGATATGAAATATATATTCCAAAGTAATATTATCTAATGTCTGGGGTTTATGTCTTTTCTAAATCATTGCTTCCTTATTATATCTACTTACTTGAAAAACACTTTTGTTTAAAATTTTACTGCAAGTTTCAGCTTTTTAAAATGCTCTGATGAGTATATCAGAGCACTTAAAAATATATATACTTACTGGGAAACTTTAAAAAGCTTCTCAGTAAGAGAAGCTTTTAAAGTTTCCCAGTAAGTATATATCCCCCTTCATACCTAATATATGTACTGTACTTCACAGGTACAGTACATATATTAGGTATGACATATCCACAGTATTCACAATAAGACAGAGCCCTATTTACTGCAAATGAAGCTAGTGTGGTACCCCATCCCTTTTATACATTAATTACTTACAAATTATTCTACATACTATATATTTTGATTCTTGCATCTTTTACAAATTCTAAAATAATTTTCAACTTCTATAATTGAAATATAACCTCTGTACTTTTCCATTCTGTTTAATTTGTTTTGGTTTCAGCTTTGTTTTTAAAACTGTCTTTCTCTTTGGACTTTAAACTAATACAAATTATTAACAGAAGATGGAATATCTACTAACAATTTTTTTGATATATTTAAAATGTTAAATGTATAGATAAATCTATAAAGTAAATACTTTAAAGTTTTTAAAATTAAAAGTAAAATGTTTTTTGTAAGTTGATAGCAGACACATACAGTTATCTGTTTTTTGGAGATCAAGATGAAAAAAGAAATTCTTATGAATACTATTTAGGGGTTTTCAGTTATTTTTGAACAAGTTTATTACAAGAGAAGTCAATGT